CTATGCTCCATGAGTAGTATGGAAGACCTACTTATAAATGAAAATGTGAAGATTCAATGACGCAATGCCAATCGTGTCAGATGTGCTTGGAACAGTTGCTGAGATGACTGTTTTATAATCTCTTAATTTCAATAGCCTTTCTACAATTGCTGTTTCTCTGGTCTCTACAATTCACTTAAATGATTCCAAATGCTGGATTCCAGAGTAATTACAAGCGGCTTGTGATCAGCTTACCTTGGACGAAAATTAGGACACAAATCTCGCTGACTTTGGTGCCATCCAGCAGCAGCTGGATTAGGATACTGGCTGAAATTTATCTCTGAACGCAGAGTTAGCGTCGCCCAGACTACTCCTCTTATCCTTTTCGAACGAAGGTTTAATAGTTTATCTCGTACCATCTGGTATAGGCGATATCATTTTCTTCAAAAGACAAAGAGGAATTCCGTTTGGGACATAAAAATGTAACTTGACAAGCGACTTAATTCAAAGAATCTGCGAATAAAAGTGTCAACAGTAAATTGCTAGTCGTGGTAAAAAGTATGATTCACTCTAAAGTTTGGCACAACAGTGCTAAGCTCAACAATTTAGGCAGACATGCCTGATATTGCGTCAGTAAAGTATCATGAACAAATGACTGAAGTTTGGCTCTGCTGCAATTTTACAGAATTATGACTAATTTTCTATCTTTATTCGCACATACAAACATACTCACACACACACAAATACACACACACACACACACACACAAACTCAAAGAGAGAAATATTTGAGCTTACATTAAAACCAACTCATCGGAATACTCTGATTACAATTATATGTTTTCTATTCCCACTTCTTCGTCCACCAGTACACACTCACACGGGCGGAGTATTCCTGAACTCCGTGGAAAGTTCTCGTTGATTCCATTCATTTGTGTCATTTCGACAGAAAGCAAGGGCGACCAATCACTACTCCAACTTGTCCGTCTTCAATCTCATCCGAATTTGAGGAAATTAACACCGAGAAATCCTTCTCACAGCCTCAACTCTGTTTCGTTGGAGTTGCTATCCGATAGAATTAGGCATTATTTTCAGCTAATTGCACTGCAATTGTTCAAAATTATGACCAATTTTCTATCTTTATTCGCACATACACACACACAAATACACACATACACAAACTTAAATATAGAAATATTTGAGTGGCAAGAAGGCATGTACATCCAAATTACCCACCCAGTCATCTCAGCAACTGTTCCAAGCACATCTGACACGATTGGCATTACGTCATTGAATCTTCACATTTTCGTTTATAAGTAGGTCTTCCATACTACTCATGGAGCATATATATATATATAAAAGATATATTCATCCTGACAGTTGAATTTTCCCACAATGATATAAGTGGGTCTTGCATTTTTCCTGACTCTCACAAGTATTCTGTAGTTTCGACATCGAAACCAGTGGTACTTAAAGCCCAACTATCGTATCGAGATTGTACGTTGAAATACTAAAGTTCGAGTCCTGCTGAGGTTGCGGATGAATCCAATTAAGGCAGTCCAGTCCATCAGTGAAGAGAATGTCATTTTGGAGACAATGCCAAGTGAATTTTAGTGCCTACTCACATCAGAGTAGATAGATTCAACTATGAATATTTCAATAAATTAAAATAAATAAAGTAAATAATGTCATATATTAAATCTTCATGGCTACGCTAGTGAAGTTAGGCTCTGCTGTAATTGTTCAAAATTATGACTTATTTTCTATATTTATTCGCACACATACACACATTTGCACACACAAATACCCACACACACATCAGTGGAGCTGTAAGGGATTGACAACTTCATTAAATGCAAGCAATGTCGGTTGGAAATATGGTTAGAATCACTTTTGCTTAGTTGACGTATCAACATCGCCAGATGGAGTAGACAAGATGAAGAATGAATTCAACTCCTCTTCTGTTCCTTGCCGTGTCAGTTCGGCTTATTAAATCAAACAGTCCATTTCAATATATCTTTTTCTAATACTTTTATCTTAATTTGTCTCAATGCTTTGAGTAGAACGACTTCGAATTCCTTTTGTATTCGCTTTTTCTAGTCGTAAAATGACATTTCCCTGCCGTCTGTCACGACCCGAAAACCTATTTTCCTACTTTCCTTTCCATTCCCTTTAAATAATTGTCAATTATTTCTGATTAATAATCATACTCAATTACACATTTCCCTATTTCTCTCGTCACCAGCTCATTGTGTCTGACATGATACACACTTTTTCACATTAAAAACATTCGGAATGATTCTGGCATTTCTGTCTTATTAAAAATTTATTCTTCCCGCATTTTTTTCTACTAACTAACTTACAGAAATTATCCACACCCTTATTTGTCACTCTGTCTGGCGCCCAGCTTTTTAATTTGGGTCTAATCAAATCCATTTTCAACTTCCCCCTTATTGGTAAAATTCTATTTCTTAGTAGAATACACCATACTACTTGTCACGTAGTAAATAGTTTTGCAAATAATTGGAAAATTTTGACCTTAGACAATTTGATAGTCCCATGGAATACTTCATTTTTAGGACACTTGTAGAGAAAGTAAAGACAATTTCTCCTTTTATTCTCGTGACCTCGGACGGAGTCTTACTTGAAGGTGTGCGGCATTGTGTTGCAGAGTCTTGACTCTCGGCATTTTTGGCAATTAGATACCGATAAAGGCCGGCCAACTCATACACACCTCGCTGGTAGGCAACACGACACAGACGTTCTCTGGTGCACACACGGCCGTGCTCATCAATCCACGTCTCCCGGTCTCTGGTCAACTCTGCGCTCGCCTCTTTGCCAGATTTGACCGTCTCACGGCTTGTGTGTGTTTCACACGGACCAGAGCCGAAATGGGTTGAAGAAGATGTGTCTTGCCGTGGGCCGGCTGAAGAAGAGAAGAAAACAGTACAATTATGCGATAGCAGCAGAAATGTTGTCTCCCAGTGGCAATATTTGAAAGCGAAACCATGCTTTATGCCAACAGTAGTTTACAAACATAATAAAAAAACAACAATCTATTCTCTCTGTTGTCACATACAATCGACCCAAACTGTTGAATTACTGGAAGCAGACAGAAAGAACATTGTTCAGCTTCGATTGGGCATGTCGGCTGGCAACGAGATGAGCCAAGCAAAAAAAAATCTTAGTCAACTTAGCCGAAGTTTTGGCGCGAAAACCCAAGTTAGTTGACATGGTGTCAGCTACGGTCAGTCGATAAATGAGTTCTAATCGATGGACTAAAGAGAAGAGAAAACAGCTAAAATAGTCATAAAAGTTGACTTTAGATTTATCCGCATTTTACCAAAGTGACCTTTGAATTTTATTATGGCGGCTGCATTTTCGTTGCCAGGGCCTTTAGTTTTTTGTAGCCATGATGCTGAAAGTGGGTTCTTTAGGGCTTTGCTCAAGTTGAGTCGTGAAAATGAGCCATGATGCTTGCAACTATGCGTGCTCCAGGCAGAAGTAGCTGGTTTTATTGAGAGCTCTCGGTGAAAGCGAAAAGAGCATGCAAATGTGGACCGATTGAAACCGATGAACTGCCCCACTTTGGTAGGATTTTCAGCCTCTGTCCTCCTCAACGCCTCAACTCCAATCGCATATCCAGTACCATTGAGCTGACAATTGATGCAAATGATGAATTGGGGTGAGCAGGGCTCCGTGAACCTTGTCGGATTCGTGTTTATCCACATGCCAGAATTCACATAAACACACACACACACACACATGCATGCACCCGCACATGCACATGGTTGCAGCTGGAAATTAGGCAAAAGTGGGCATGTACATTTTTTTCTCGATGCTTCAACCAATATTACATTGCTCTGTCAGGAGACCTATTTTCACAAGAATAGGAGACAAATCCCTCAGAGACAGCCTCAAACGGGATGTTCCAGCAAATTTAACCGATAATTAGTGGAATTGACGCAAGCCAATCAATTAGTGGAATAGTTTTTAGCATCATTGTCAAGGGAATATGTCGCTTTTATTACATTTAATAATTTTAACAGACGTGGAATTTGCATTTTGTCGATTCTGGATAGTTAGTTGAAAAGAGACAAATTGTATAAAAAGTGACTTGCTCCACTACCAAACATCAACAAAAAAATTGATATTTATTATAAATAATTGATATGTGTCCTATTTTAGTCTAGACGACAAAAGGTTACTATTATTAGTTGACGCAAGTCGCGGCAGAATTGAACCGCACAAGTAAAAAAGAATTTAACTCCAATACAACAGATTACTTATAAGCAATATCAGTAGTATTGTCTGTTCGATTATTTTTCATGAGGTTACTTTCATTTTGGTGAGAAAAACTGCAAATTGTCGAGAAACTAGCTTTGCGAGGCTCATCATTTTGAGAAGAGTTAGAATGACAGAAATTCTTTTTCCACGCCCGAAAGAAATAGTTCTAGAATGACTTCATCACTAGCGTGATGCATCCCAGCTCGCTGTATCTTAATCGAAAAAGTATGAATCAGAGAAGAACAGATTTCCTAAAAAGACAAAATATTCTAATTGCTTGAAGATGGCCAAATTGATGTCGTAACATTATGACAACAAACGATAATACAAACGCACATATAAGCACAAATACATACCGATCAACATAAATAAACAAATATATATATATATATGTATGTGTGTATGTACCACCAACAGCCTCACCAGGTACTTGTGCGTTCGGCAACCCATGGGTGAATGAGACAAGCCACTCAAAAATAAAATTGACAACATGAATCCATGCTTTTATTGCAGGTTGATATGGAGAGTGGTTGCAATTTCTGTCTAAAAGTGGGGGATAACTAAAGAAAGTAACATATTTTAAGTAAAAATCGTTTCTATTTCCAACTTGGTATCCATTTCGTCTATCTTTTATGCGTTATACTGCAGCCGTTTGGCTTTTATACGAAGTTCCGATTGAGACAGTTCACGAGAACTCCTACCCCGTTTGGTTCATCTTCCCAAGGACATCATCAGATCTAGAACTCATTTTTGTAAAGTTAAAAATAAGGACAAGAAGACTATCCGGCTCTGTATTACCTCTTATAAAAGACTAAATTAAGCAAAATAAAACTAAAAATCCAAGTGTCTTTGGATGTTCGTGTGTGTGTGTGTGTGTGTGTGTGTGTGTG